ATTGTGGCAGGCGCCTGTGGTCCCAGCTACTTGGGAGGTGCAGGCAAGAGACTCGCTTGAGCCCAGGAGTTGGAGGTTGCTGTGAGCTGTGATGCAACAGCACTCTACCCAGGGCAACAGCTTGAGGCTCTGCCTCAAAAAAATAAAATAAAATAAAATAAAAAAGTAATTTAATTAATGATCTTTAAAAATTTTTGTGGCACACCTGAGATCCTCTTATGGCACACCGGTTGAAAATGACTGCTCTAGGGAGAGTGATCCACTTTACCACTTTTCTTGCAAAAGTTTGTAGCAAGCCAGCAGAGGGGTGGGGGGGTAAACTTGTTCTTTTTGTAAAAGGATATCTATGTTTTGCCTTTGTCAATGCCACAGCAGGCCAGGTATGACAGCAAAAAGGACCTGAAAGTAATAGAAGACTGGCAGAATATTACTTTCAAATACATGGAAAAAACCCAGAAGAGAAGAAAGAGTGAGTACCAAAGAGAGGGAGGAATTGAATATCCCAGGGGAAGAAGGGACAGCAAAAGAGGTCAGTTTTCCAGGAGGGAAAGAAGAAAAGGGAGGAGAAATGGCAGGACTGTGGGCAGGAATATTTGAATCTGGCAGACAATTCTCTCTCTCTTCCCCAAGATATTTCTATATAAGGGGTATGAGGAAGAAGAATGGAAAAGGAAAAGTCAGTTGTAGGAAATAGAATCATTAGATTAGGAAACATTTGGATTAGAAAGGGTTTTAGGGTCATATAGTGCAGCTCCCTCAGTTTTATGGATTAGGAACTAAAAACTCAGGGCTAAAGGGACTTGGTCAGTATCAGAGTCTAGGGTGGCTCCTGTAGCTCAGTGGGTAGGGCGCTGGCCACATACACAAAGGCTGGCTGGTTCAAATCCAGCCCAGGCCAGGTAAACAACAACAACTGCAACAAAATATATGGGAGCGTTGTGGCAGGAGCCTGTAATCCCAGCTACGTGGGGGGCTGAGGCAAGAGAATCGCTTGAGCCCAAGAGTGTGAGGTTGCTGTGAGCTGTGACACCAGAGCACTCTACCACTCTACCATAGTGAAACTGTCTCAAAAAAAAAAAAAAATCATGGAATCTAAGGCTGGGCGTGGTGGCTCACGCCTATAATCCTAGGATTCTGGGAGGCCAAGGTGGGTGGAATGCCTGAACTCACAGGTTCCAGACCAGCCTGAGCCAGAGTGAGACCTTGTCTCTAAAAATAGCAGGGGGTTGTGGCAGTCACCTGTAGTCCCAGCTACTTGGGAGGCTGAGGCAAGAAAATCTCTTGAGCTCAAGAATTTGAGGTTGCTGTGAGCTACGAGCTACAGTACTCTACAGAGAGTAACAAAGTGAGACTCTGTCTCAAAAAAAAAAAAAAAGGGATCACAGGGTCTGTGACAGAACTTGGATGAGAACGTGGGCTCCTGACCTCTAAAGTCCTCTTTCTAATATTTCTTCTTCAAAGGAGAGCTTTGGAAAGATGAGTAAACAAAAAGAATCATACTTACTGTAATAATAGCTAATCTTTTTTTTTTTTTTGCAGTTTCTGGCCAGGGCTGGGTTTGAACCCACCACCTCTGGCATATGGGGCTGGTGCCCTACCCTTTTGAGCCACAGGCACCCCCCATAATAGCTAATCTTTATTGAATACTTAAACCATGTGCCACAAAGTTCTAGACTCAAAGAAGACTCAGGGACCCACACAGACTCAATATCACTTGACTTAGTACTTCTCATACTTTAACATACATACAAGTTATCTGGTGATATTGTTAAAATGCAGATTCTTTTTTTTTATTTTTTGATACAACTCTCACTCTGTTACCCCAGGTTAGAGTGAAATGGTGTCATAGCTCACAGCAACCTCAAACTCCTGGGCTCAAGCAAGTCTCCTGCCTCCACCTCCCAAGTAGCTGGGACAACAGGTGCCCGCCACGACACTTGGTTATTTTTCTTGGTTGCAGCCGTCACTGTTGTTTGGTGGGCCTGAGCTGGATTTGAACCCACCACCTTAGGTATATGTAGCTGGCACCTTAGCCACTTGAGCCACAGGCACCAAGCCTTCTTTTTTTCTTTTGACAGAGTTTTACTTTATTGCCCTCGGTAGAGTGCTGTGATATCACAGCTCACAGCAACCTCCAACTCCTGGACTTAGGCGATTCTCTTGCCTTAGCCTCCCAAGTAGCTGGGACTACAGGTGCCTGCCA